CCGCCGCGAAGGAGGGTTTGGAAGTGCGAAGGCGGGCTCTGGGCTCCTTCAAGGCCCGGTACGACGTGCAGGTAGAGGGCACGCCGGAAGGATACAAGCTCCGAGGGCTGGTCGCAGAGACGGCAGCCGCCCGTGATCGTCTGGTGGAACTGCTGAGCCAACGAGCGCGTGCTGTCATCCCTGTCAGCGCTTCTCAGGCCTTAGCCCTGGCCACAGCAGGCGACGGGAACTGGCGCAAGGTCCGAGAGGATTTCGCCGTAGCCTGTGATTTGGACGTGGACCAATCTGCGGTGATTCTCACCGGGGCCACGCCCGCGGTGGAGCGGGCGCGGGGGTTCGTCTATCAAACGCTCGAGATCCTCTTCGGAGGTATGTTTGGAAGTGTTCCCGTGCGCGTGCCGGCGATGCCAGCCTTGGCTGCGCCCAGCGCCATCGACGCGATCAAGACACGGACGGGGTTGGAACACGTCGTGGTCGACCGGGAGGGGGCGATAGTCCGCGGTCAAGGTACCCCCGAAGCCGTCCAGGCGCTCCCGGACGCAGTGGACAGCTTTTTACAGGACTGGGAACAAAGTCACGCGCGCGTCCACTTCGAAAGCTGGATGTTGCCGTATTTGCTGGGGAAAGGCGGGGCGAAGGTGAAGGAGCTGCAGAAGCGGACGGGAGTCAATGTGGAGTTTGATCGCGAGGCGGCCGTGGTCCGTCTGTCTCCGGGTTTCGCGGGAGCGAACAAGAAAGGAAAGGAAAGAAAGCAGGCCAACAGTGAGAATAAGGAGTATTCGGAGACAAATTTGGCTGAGAAGGCCGGGGAATTGGTGGCTGCGGCAGTGGAGGAAGGGGAGACCGAGGAGGGGCATGCTGCAATGGAGAAGACTGAGACGGTAGAAGAGGAGGACGAGGAGCAGGTCATGTCGGAAGTCCCTGATGACGTCAAGGCGCGCAGCATCGCGTCCGTGCAAGCGGCTAAGGCCTGGCTAATGGAGCAGATTGAGACGATCAAAAAGGAGCACGCCCACGTCCTCGTGACCGTCCCTCAAGAAGTCCTTCCGTATTTGATCGGGAAAAAAGGCGCGAATTTGGCGAAGATCAAAGAGGAGAGCAAGGCCGCCCTAGACATCATGGATAATGACGGAGGAAGGGACGGGGGAAGGGAGGGCGGAAACCGATATATGGACGGAAGGGGGAAAGGCTCAGGTCGATCTCTTCCAGCAGAGGTGTCGCAGGCTCCGGCGCCCAAAGGGATGGTGTATGTCCAGGTTAAGGGCACCGAAGCCGCAATGGCTAAAGCCCAAGAGCTGATAGCAGCTTTTGTGGCAGAATGGCGGGCGTCAAATCTTGAGAAAGAGGTAAAGGTATTACCGGACCAGATCCGGATTGTTGTGGGTCCGAAGGGATCAACGATACGGGGAATCGCGGAGGACAGCGGCGCGAAACTTGACGTTGACAGGGAAAATCTGGTGGTGATTGCGCGGGGGACATCGGAGGCGGTTGACAAGGCCGTGGCGCTATTGGAGGCCCTGATAGCTGAGGATTTGGCTGCCAATCCGGGGCGCAGCATGCCGGCAGGTGAGAGGGGCGCCACGAATGGTGCCACCTCTGTACCGAGCTCTAAGTCTTCGGGCCCGTCTTCGGCGGATCAGGTCGCAGGTGACGGCATCGTCGGAGATGACACGAGCGGTCACAAACCCGTCGAGGGGAAGCAGGCGACGGGGGACTGGAATTTTCCATTCATACCACCCGGTGCTGATGCGTCTTATTCCAAACTTTTGATGGACAAGCAAGCAGCTGCAACAGCCGCAGTGACCGCAGAAAAGAAGAAGAAGAAGAAGAAGAAGAAGAAGAATGCGAAAAGAGATGATGGAGATGACGCCGAGGGGGACGAGAAGGTCTTAAATGCAGGAGGGCGGCCCATGTCCATCAACGGTGGCACGGTCAAGAAAACTGAGGATAGCGGTTCGAGTAAGAGCGGGAAGCTGATCCCGGCGGAGGGTGAAGAGGAGCCGGTTCATTTTAAGAATGCCATCCCAAACAAGGGAACTGGCAAAGAGAAGAAGTTGACAGAAGATGCGACAGCAGCCAACGTGGCCCGAGAGACACGCGCGAACATGGCTCAAGTAGCAGAGGTTGTAACGACGGAAAAAGCCGGCCGGCTTCTTGACCTGATTATGGGCGGCAGTAGAGCCACAATCTCCGGCGAGTGCGTGCCCGGAAGTGACGGGCAAGGCGAGGCCGGGGACGGGATGCACACTGGCCACGGAGAGGGGGCACCGACGGGCGCGGCGGGAAGCAAGACAGTCTTCAAATCATCGGCGACCATGCTGCGCTTGTAGGGAAGTGCATGTCAAAGCTGGGACCGGGCCAGGTGGTTAAGCTCACCGTGGAGACATGGCTGAGAAGTCCTGTACTTAGGCTTATCACCTGATTCTGCAGTCCACATGTAGTCAGTAGCCTTTTTATCCACCGTGCTTAGGTCAGCTTTCAAGACTTTCAGGTACAGTAGTTGCTTTCAAAGAATTCGATGTGTAGAATTGGCTAGGATCTTTAACTATTTTGTAATAGAATAGTGAGGCAGCGTGTCTGAATAGGGTGTTTCAACCACCCCCGATATCAAAACTACAGCATCCGAAACGATTTAATCGACGCAAACTCGAAGATGTCAGCGAGGTTTTAGACGCGAAATTTCGCAAAAGAGTCATAGTTGTTTGAGGCAAATTACTGATGGCAGGAAAGGTAGCAATAAAAGAAATGCAAAACGACGTGATTGATATCGGCGAACCCCTTCACGTCTGCCACGCTTGACAATCAAAGAATCAGAAATCTAGAGGAGGGAAAACTGAGGAGAATGAAGGAATCTTAAACGTGACATTGCTGTCTAATACAATCTACTTCATCCGTACATCATCTGAAACCAATCCGCTTGGAAAGAGTGGTCTGGCACATCAATGCGTGAGCCCAGGCTATTCCCTCAGACGACACACTTTCCCACAGAAGAGATCTGATACGTCTTTTCGTTTTTTGCCAGTCCGGCTTTTACTGTTATCACATTGTCTGCGGCCCTACAAAAGATAACCTTTCTCTCGTCCTCTCCTTCCATTGTACACAGTTGCCTAGTGTCCTGCGCTATGGGAAATACTTGCGGCGCAAGTCCTCTAACACCATTTTTGCATCTTTCATGTCTCTACTATCCCGTCCGGATGCCTGTACATTGGGGAGACTGGACGACCTTTCCTCCAGGAAGCGGAAGGCCGCCTTGATATTCTCCTTATCCACGTCCGACATTAGCAATCTCATCATCTCAAAGCTTTCCACGCACGCCATCCCTTCCAATACTTTGCAGACCATTTTGGCGTCTCCTTTGTCTTTTCCTTGGCAAAAAACCTGGGCCGTGACGGAGAAAACATCGTTAACGACATCCTGGTCGGTGACGCGTTTGAAAACTCTCGGGAAAGTCTTGGGATTGAAACCCCGAAGGTAAGCTGCCAGGTAGCCAACGTCGCCCCTTTTCTTCAGAGTACGCCAATGAGTTTCGAGCATAGTTACAGTTTTAGGCGGAGGCGGGACTTTCAGAACATCAACTGCAGGGGGAAAGGGTCGGTCTTTGGGTTGCCGAGCGCCCGTACTGCAGGGCACAGGGTCTCTACTGCCACAGCTTTCTTCTACAACACGCACTCGGCGAACGGGCTCCGCGGGGCATTGACGGGGCTGCGTTGATACTTCCCGCACAAACCAAGATCCACCTTTTGTCTCTCCTCCCTTTTTTCCTCCTGTCCTTGCCCCGTGGCTCGCTTCCAAGCCCGTCCGCTGCGCCAACAGCACGTCTTCAGGCTCTTGGGCCAGATTCTCCTTGATTAATGCTCCCACGGTACCATCAGAAGGGGCGACATCGGGCACTGGAGAGTTCAAAGATTTATTTGTTTTGGAGGACTGCTTGCGTGCTGCTGGCAGGGTCGACGGTTGCCGCATGGTCTGCAGCTTGGACAGAAGGAGTCGCGCCACGCCCTGCTCTTTCTGTGCCTCTGTGTTCTTCTTGTCCCTTTCTAGAATCCAATCTAGGTCCTTCAAGGCCGCAGTAAGCGCCTTCTCGGCTGCTTCTAAAGGCACCGTGGGATCGCGGTCGCCCTTCAGTGACTCGCCCGCGCCTGCTGTCGATCCAAGCACTTCTTCAACACGAGCCACGCGCGACTCCGCCGCTCTGCACGCGGCCTTACCCCTTCGATACCGAGCCTTGATGTTCTCCGGTTCGCTTTCCAGCACTCGACTGGCGTCCCTCCTAGCCTCCTCCCAGAGACCTTGCCTGAGGTAGGCCAGGCACCGGTTGTTGTAGAGCGGCAGGTGACCCGCGTCCCGCTCGATGCCCTCCGAGTAGTATTGGATGGCACGGGCGAGGTCACCCCGCGCCAATGCCTTGTTCCCCATCTCTTTCAACGCCAAGGTCTCTCTCAAAGGCCCTCCATTCCGCGAGCGTTTCCCCTTGACGGGGGCACTCCCGCCGCCCGAGGCACCTTCGCTCGAAACATTGGTCTGCACAAGGGTGTCGTTAGACGGCCGCATTCTTTCCCCGGAAGCTTCCTGAGGAAATGAAGCCCTAGGGTGGAGTGTGTGGAGTGGCAGGGAGACCTCCCTCGGGGCTTGTGGGCTGGCGGTAGACAGGGCCCTGATGGATGACGGCCTTCCCGCCTCCCCTTCGACGACGGGGACACGTCGAAAGCCCTCGGCAAGGGGGGGAGGAAAGTCCGCCTCCAGGCTGGGCATTTCCATGGAGCACGTCTCGTTGGAAATGTCAGCCAAGGGGACCGGCCTTGGTGTCGCCTCCGGGTAGCCTTTCTCAGGCTTGGAGGCTGATCCCTCCCGGTCCCGTGGGCCGGACGGCACGCACGAGGATGGGGTGGAGGCTGGAGCCGATGTCTCATCCCTCAATCCTTGCACGGCATCCTTGCCGTCTTGACTACAGGCCCGGCCCTCCTCGTCCATCTGGTGCAGCAAGGCAAGGGCCTCCCTCGCCACTTTTCCATCCATGCTTCCCGCCCCCCACCGAAGAACTTCTTCTAGATCCTTCCTCGCTTCTGCCCGCTTTCCCCTCTGGCGCCGGATCGTTCCCCGGCGTAACCATGCCTTAGCATAGGAAGGATCTCGGGCGATGGCCAGCGTGCAGTCCACTTCCGCCTTCACCCACTCCCCTAGCCGCATGTACACCAGAGCGCGGTTCCCGCAGACAGCCGGGTCTAGCGCATTGAAGCCCAAGCTCTTCGTGTAACTGGCAAGCGCCTTGGCGTACTCACCTCGTTTGAAAAATGCATTCCCTTCCTCCTTTAATGACGCGGCCATGACCATCCGCTGTGCCGGCAGGGAATCGCACGTTTGCCTGGTGGCCGCCAACAGGCTTTCGGCAGCTCGAACCTCCTCCTCGTCCTCGTTTCCATCCTCAACTTTGGGAGCTAGAGCCTCTTGCATAGACTTGGATGAGACGATCGTGGGCGCCCTGTAATCTGTCCCCTCCCTGGCTCCCACCACCCTCGACCTGCTTGCCGTCACCGTCCTCATCGGCCGGACGGGAGTTAGCCGGTCAGAGTTAGGACGATCAAGGTCAACCAATTCACCGCCGATGGAGCTCTCGACCGCCGTCGCCAGCAAGGCCTTGTCCCTTTGGCAAATTTCAGCGGTCCACTTCTCTAGTCGAGCTTCTTCGTCCGCAATTTCCTCGGGGGGTGTTTGCGCCCGGAGGGTTGTGACTTTACCTCGCACTTGCGCGGGCGAAAAAAGCCACAGCCGGTCTTTCACTTCCCGCTCCAGATCTGCGGAAAGACCGTCTTTCCCACTTTTGAGCCTGCGCAAGATGCCTCGGAGGACCTTGGGATCGTCGCAGCTTTGGATGAAATTTGCATCCAACAAAGCTGGGGTGATACGAATGGGCGGCTTCTCGTCTTCGTGTCCTGCGAGGAACAGCTCGGAAACCAAGTCCATGTGCACGACACAGAGGGCGAAGGACGGATTTCAAAGTGACTGGCATGGACGTATTGTGACGGTGAATCGTGAAGCAATTGGGTTGAAAAAAAGCCTAGGGCAGGGGGTGGAACATGTTGAGCTTTTTGGGCGAGGGGAGGGTAACAGGGAGGCAAGGCGTCAAATACCATCTACCTTTCCAATGCAACGATAAGCCACTCATTCGTGTCCAACTACGATATGCGGACCCCCCACTATTTTTCCAGGTGGTGCGAGCGTGTCAAAGATGCCGCGAAGCCGGTCCCGTTCCCTCAGGTGAGTTATATATTCCGGGCTCGCAATCCTCCCTTCGACTTGCTCGGGGGGTTACCCGCTCGAGGCGCTTGATACTCACCACTTTCCCTGTCTTTCGGTCAGTCGCGGCAGTGGCCGGCGACGAAGAGGTCGAGAAGAAGATCGTGATTATGACCGGAATCGAAAACGGAGGGAACGGAGCAGGAGCTCGGGCCGACACCGGGAAGGAGATGGCCGCAGGAAGCATTCGCACCGAGACGATCTCAGGAAGGGAAAGAAGGCAGCTCGACGCGACGGGAGCTATGACGATGACGAGAAATTTAGTGGGAGGCGTCGTCAGCGGCCCTCGCCCTCGCTATCCTCCTCTTCCTCCTCCTCCCTCTCCCCCCCTCGCGGGACGGACAAAGCATCGAAGGGAGGATTACACCACAAGCCGCAGTCTACGCATTTCACGTCGCGCCCTTCCCCGCTAGAGCAGCGAATCTTGGACGAGGAGGTGATTCGTCGGTTTGACAGCCGCATTAAGGAGCAGCTCGAAGAAAAAGTCTCCGTGTACTGCGAATCCAGTGAGTTTCAAAAGCTTTTGGAGGACATGAAGAAACGAAAACGTGAAGAAATGCTCAATCGGATCGATCAAGACATACGGGCCGAGCGCGAGGCTGTCCTTGATTTGGAAAGGAAGCGTGCCGAGGCGGAAGCGGAGGAAAAACGGAAACTTGCGCAAGTCCTGGAGGAGAATCGCCGTAAAGTAGAGGAGCAGCGCCGTCTAGAGATGGAGGAGAAAGAACGTCAGGACGAGCAGAAGCTTCTCGAGATCCAGCGGCGACAGCAGATGGAGGAGGAGGAAGAGAAACGGCGGGTGGTGAGTGTGCTGGGGGTGGGGGACGGAGGCTTAACAGGGGCAAGCGGGGAGTGCAGGCAACCGTCACAGGCACGGGCCCTCGGACAGCACCGTCCGCTCTCTTTACTCTACCCCATGCCCCCCTTTTGCGTGCGCGAATGTTCCCTTTTCTCATTGTGGAGTCCTCAACCCCTGGTCGAGCCAACGGTCGGCACGGCACCCGTCTGCCTGCTGAGGGTCTGCCCTCCTGGTGGCTGACGCAGAGAGGGGCTTCTCACGGAGCAACGTCCACGGAATTTGTACGGGGGCACCGGCGAAATCGCGTGCAGGTCGTGCCTGCATTGTTAATTATATGAGGAGCACACGGCGGGGAGCAGGCCCAAGCCCGGGCTGACCGCCCTCCACTTCGGCCGCCTCAGGACACAGCCCTGTCACCATGGGCTCTTCATTCCGCCGCGTCGGGGGCGAGCAAGGCTTTCCCTTTTCCCCTTCGCCGCCCCTAGACCTCCACGTCCCTCTCCCCTGCCCGGTACTCACTCTCTTCCCTTCTTACCCCCCTGTCTCCCACGCGGCCCCGTCCGCCCTCTGTCTCCCCCATGTCTCCCTTTCCCGTTCGAGCAGGCGGAGGAACAAGCCCTTCTGCAGGAGCAAACCAAGATCCTTCGGCGACCGGCCACCAAGATTTCACTCTCTCTCAAGAAGAAAGGGAGCCTTTTTTGAGGGGGCGCTCAGGGCACTGGGACGGTGAGGGTTGAGGGTGGCGAGTTCTTGGGCGAGTCAAGAGGCGTGCCGCATTCGCGGGTGCCAATAAGAGCGTGGATAGGGAGCCAATAAGAGAGTGGATAGGGAGAGGATTCAAACACGGGAAAACTGCTTGCTAGGAGAAAAAATGCACGAAAGATAGCAAGATTCGGCCCCGGCAGGCGCCTCGTCTTGCTCTGTTGATGGAGGGCTGTTGTTCTTTGCACCCTTTCTTTATCGGTCAAGGAAAGCTGCCGACACAAGACACGCGACGGTGGCCCATTTTCTTGCGTGTTGCCCTTATCTTCCGCCTCCCCTTTGCGTTCTTTAATCCGAAACACCACCATCCTTCGCCTTGTCATCCGAGTCCTCCTTATCGCGCCGCTTACAATCTTCCGCTCTGCCTTCTGGTCTTAGCTCACCACTGACCCGTGTCTTCGTGGAGCCGGCTTGCACTCAAGGCCAGCCCTCGACACTTCCGCCATAAAATACACTCCGACATACATACTTTTCCTCTGCCTCCTTCTGCCTTTCCCTTAATACACGGCCCCTTAGGCTCTCACTCAGCACTCTCCAATATTTCGGTCTCCTGTATCGTCAACAAAATATCTGCCCTCATGCTTGATAGCCGTCCACGACAGGTGCAAAACGCCTCTTCCGTCTCGTGACCCCCCCTCCCCCTGCCGGAGACAACCCCTTGCCTTTCTCTTCCCTCCGGCCGCCCTGTCCCTCGTCCTACTTACACTCCGAACGCGGACAGCCTCCTTTCCTTCGAGGCCCTCTTCAATCACTTACCAGTCCCCCTATTCTCACCATTGCTGTGACCGACAGCGGGCTTCCGATTCAGCTAGATCGTCCTCTCCGCCCTTCCTCCTTCCCTCCCCATTAGGTTCCCCCCTTTTCCTCCTCCCACAACCCACCCTACTCCCTCCTTCCTTCTTCCTTTCGCCTCACTTCTTTGCTGCTCGCGTGGGCCGTCCTGAGGTCTTCTTGGGCAGGGCCTTCTTGGCTGTGGAGAGAGTGGAAAGGGGGAAACGATTAAACACCAAGGTGCCGATAACAAGCATGCAGACGAGCCGAAGGGGCTCACGCGAGTATTGAGCGGCCAAAGAAACAAAGGGCATGATTTGCACCCTGCCAGAGCCATCGTCCTGCTCCCATCCCCCTCATTCCCCCAGACCACGCACCGGGGCCCACAGCCTTCTTCTTCGGCACCGGCTTGGTTGCCTTTTTGGCCACTGTTTTCTTCGGCGGCGCGGCTTTGGAAGCGACGGGCTTAGGCGCAGCAGGCTTAGCAGGGGCGGGCGCAGGCGCTACTTTCTTGGCGGTGCTTGTGGCTTTCTTGGCGACCGGCTTGGCCGTTTTCTTCACGGGCACCTTCTTCTTGGGTGCGGCTTTCTTGGAAAGGGCCTTGCTGCCACCGGAGCTTTTCGCCTTGGCCGAAGCTGCAGAGGCAGGAGCAGCCATCGTAGCCTTTGCCGCAAGGGCGACACGGGCACTGGGCCTCCGGGGGACAATGGGTGCGGGACCAGACTTCTTGACAGCGCCCTTCTTGGGGGGGGGAACAGGGGTCGTGGCTGTTTTGCGGGCCGGCACGGCCGGAGTGGGCGGCGTGGATGGCTTCGCCCCTTTCTTTCCGGTGGTGGAGATGGCCTTCTTGCTGCTTGCGGCTGGCGTCTTCGCGCCCTTCTTGGTGGGAGTCCCCTTGCTCGCAGATTTCCCCAGAGCCAGCGTAGAGCTTTTCACCTTGGTGGAGGGCGTCATCCCCTTCTTTTTCAGCGCAGATTTTTCCGCGGTTGCATGCGTCTTTTGCTGCTTGGAAGCGGGCGTTTCCCCCTTGCTGCTGCTTATGGAAGACCGTCGGGAGCGTTTGCCTAAAGCGGATGGCGTCTTGGCGCGGGGCGTGGTCGAAGCACGCTTGCTCCCTGAAGCTCCCACCTTCTTGCCGCCAGAAGAAGCGCGTGGGATAGGGTCGGAGGGGGTGCTACTCTTGCTGCCTTTCCAAGGAGACAAAAAACCCAGCACCTGCGCCCATGCATAAGAGGTATATGGGAGACAGTGGACAGATGTGAGGATTGAGGCGGGCAAAAAAGCACATCAAGGATGAAGGCGTCCTGGTAGCCCTCTACAAAATCCGTCGTGTACGAAACAAAATCTACTTTCGGCACGCCGAGGATGCATCGAAACTTGCTGGTGATGCGTCGTCTAGTCAGCCGAGGTGGGCCGCCTGCGCATTGCCGCCCCAAGTCTCACGTGCCCATCGAGCACTCGCTACGCTCTACCCCCCTTTACTAGGATGGTGACAAAGACTTACCGGGTTGACCAAGTCGCTCAAGCGTCGCATGGCAGTAATGGAAGAGTGTTGACAATTTGCAAGGAGGCTGATGTGATGTGTGTGACAAGTGTACGTGACAGGAGAGAGGGGATAAGTTGGTCTGAAATCGGAGCGGTTGACCGTCGCGGTTGCAAACTGCAACATTGCCGAAACACACCGAAAAGGCATTCCCGTTTTGCAAAAGCATTCACAACGCAAAATAATGACGCGTGGCAGAGAATTTCCACCCTATTGACGCACAGGCCCGTGCAATGTGCATGCACGGGCCATTATCCAAGGGCCTGCTAAGGTGATGCAAGCGCGAGATGGAAAAAGAGCCGAGAGCGCGCGAAAACGGCCCCCCTGGAAGGACCCCAAATTAATCCCGCACAGCATGGCCACGACCGACGACGGGACACCAGGATGCATTCAGTCGTATTCGTAAAATCATTAATCGTTTGGCATGGCTTGCTCCATGATATTAAACACAGCATAGACGACATCGATCAGGCGGAAGTTACGGGATGGCACGGACACGTAAAATTCATCGACGGCTCGGACCGGGATATCTTCCTGCACGCCATTTTTGAAAGCCTTGCAAAAAAT